GGGGGGGGCACACTCGCTGTTTATACGAAATTAAGTCATTTTTACCCAAGGTAGCTCCAGACTAAATTAGGATAATATCCCTTAATCCCCTATGCCCTATGGTAGAAGAAGGATTATAAAGGTTTTAACTCTATTTCCATTTCCCCTATTGCACCCCCCCCACCCCTCCCCCAGGTGGGCCTAACCCGTCGTTTATACAAAATTGGTTCCCCTTTACCCAAGGATGCTCCACACCAAATATGGACCAAATCATTTCATTCCTACAGAAGCAGAAGGATTTTGAAGAAAATTTGCTATGTTTCCCCTATTGGGGTCCCGCTCTTCAAGCCCCTGGGGGGCCAGACCCACGGTTTATACAAAATTAGTTCCACTTCACCCACGGATGCTTCAGACCAAATATGGAACGAATCCTTTCATTCCTACAGCAGAAGAAGGATTTTAAGAATTTGCTATATTTTCCCTATTAGGCCCCGCCCCTCAGCCCTCACCCACCGTTTATACAAAATTGGTTACCCTTTACCCAAAAATGCTCCACACCAAATATGGACCAAATCCTTTCATTCCTACAGAAGAAGGATTTTAAAGAATAATTTGCTATGTGTCCCATATTGGGCACCTCCCCTCAGACCTCTGGGGGGCAAGACCCACGGTTTATACAAAATTGGTTCCCCTTTACCCAAAAATGCTCCACACCATATATGGACCAAATCCTTGCATTCCTACAGAAGAAGAAGGATTTTAAAGAATATTTTGCTATGTTTCCCCTATTGGGCCCTGCTCCTCAGGCCCCTGGGGGTCAGACACACAGTTTATACAAAATTAGTTCCCCTTTTACCAAGGATGCTTCAGACCAAATATGGAACAAATCCTTACATTCCTACAGAAGAAGAATTTTGAAGAAAATGTATTTTGTTCCCCCTATTGGGGCCCCGCTCTTCAGGCCCATGGGGGCCTGACCCACGGTTTATACAGAATTGGTTCCCCTTCATCCAAGGATGCTTCAGACCAAATATAGAACAAATCCTTTCATTCCTACAGAAGAAGAAGCATTTTTAATAATTTGCTATATTTCCCCTATTAGGCCCCGCCCCTAAGCCCTCAGGGGGCCACACTCACTGTTTATACAAAATTGGTTCCCCTTTACCAAACAATGCTCCACACCATATATGGACCAAATCCTTTCATTCCTACAGAAGAAGAAGGATTTTAAAGAATAATTTGCTATGTTTCCCCTATTGGGCCCCTCCCTTCAGGCACCTGGGGGGCCAGACCCATGGTTTATACAAAATTGGTTTCCCTTCATCCAAGGATGCTTCAGACCAAATATGGAACAAATCCTTTCATTCCTACAGAAGAAGAAGGATTTTAAAGAATTTGCTATATTACCCCTATTGGGCCCCAGCCCTCAGCCCCCAGGGGGGCCAGACCCACAATTTAAACAAAATTTGTTCCCCTTCCCCAAAGGATGCTTCTGACCAAATTTAGTTAAAATCTGCCCAGTCGTTCATGACTAGTAGCGTTTTATAGGAAAAGTTGACGGACGGACGGACGACGGACGCTGCGGTATGGCATAAGCNGAAAATTTGTTTCCCTTCCCCAAAGGATGCTTCTGACCAAATTTAGTTAAAATCTGCCCAGTCGTTCATGACTAGTAGCGTTTTATAGGAAAAGTTGACGGACGGACGGACGACGGACGCTGCGGTATGGCATAAGCTCACCATGGTCCTTTGGACCAGGTGAGCTAAAAATGATAAATATAAGTTATTTAAGAAAATAGCAATTATAATTTCTATCAAGCCAATGCCGAGGTAATTTAAGACATTTACACACAACTTATCCAACAATAAATAATTGTTCCAAATGTAGGTGCGCGTGGCTGGGTTACCGAGACTCAATTTTAGTAAATCAGCATAATTGGCGTCGCATTANTCACTGTTTATACAAAATTGGTTCCCCTTTACCCAAAAATGCTCCACACCATATATGGACCAAATCCTTGCATTCCTACAGAAGAAGAAGGATTTTAAAGAATATTTTGCTATGTTTCCCCTATTGGGCCCCGCTCCTCAGGCCCCTGGGGGTCAGACACACAGTTTATACAAAATTAGTTCCCCTTTTACCAAGGATGCTTCAGACCAAATATGGAACAAATCCTTTCATTCCTACAGAAGAAGAAGGATTTTAAAGAATTTGCTATATTACCCCTATTGGGCCCCAGCCCTCAGCCCCCAGGGGGGCCAGACCCACAATTTAAAGAAAATTTGTTTCCCTTCCCCAAAGGATGCTTCTGACCAAATTTAGTTAAAATCTGCCCAGTCGTTCATGACTAGTAGCGTTTTATAGGAAAAGTTGACGGACGGACGGACGACGGACGCTGCGGTATGGCATAAGCTCACCATGGTCCTTTGGACCAGGTGAGCTAAAAATGATAAATATAAGTTATTTAAGAAAATAGCAATTATAATTTCTATCAAGCCAATGCCGAGGTAATTTAAGACATTTACACACAACTTATCCAACAATAAATAATTGTTCCAAATGTAGGTGCGCGTGGCTGGGTTACCGAGACTCAATTTTAGTAAATCAGCATAATTGGCGTCGCATTATTAGCTTGCATCAATTGAATGACGAATATAAGACAAATACATGCGAATCATTGATTCGGACTCGAACTTCGACATCATACCTTTGTGTGGCGCGATGCTACTAACGTTGATACGTTCTCCTGTTAGGGTGGTCAGCATCTCCAACGGTATCCTGTAGTCCCCCAATCCCCTATTCGGATCACCATTCCATTCCCATTCTGACTGAGATAGGACAGAGCCTATTGTGCCTAAGAACGTGCCGTCCTCGTCCCTTATTAACGCTTTCTTTAGTNTCGAGGTAATTTAAGACATTTACACACAACTTATCCAACAATAAATAATTGTTCCAAATGTAGGTGCGCGTGGCTGGGTTACAGACTCAATTTTAGTAAATCAGCATAATTGGCGTCGCATTATTAGCTTGCATCAATTGAATGACGAATATAAGACAAATACATGCGAATCATTGATTCGGACTCGAACTTCGACATCATACCTTTGTGTGGCGCGATGCTACTAACGTTGATACGTTCTCCTGTTAGGGTGGTCAGCATCTCCAACGGTATCCTGTAGTCCCCCAATCCCCTATTCGGAACACCATTCCATTCCCATTCTGACTGAGATAGGACAGAGCCTATTGAGCCTAAGAACGTGCCGTCCTCGTCCCTTATTAACGCTTTCTTTAGTCCATCGCAGTCCATATCAACACAGTCTCTCGGATTTATTTTCCTGATTATAAATCAAATGATGCTCGTTGTAGAAAATAATTTACTGTACAAGCTTTTATTGAGTTTTCACATGAAAAACGTACAGTATCAGTTGGGAGGACGATACACTGACCACAATAACTCTAACGTTCACAAAGCAACACTAGTCTTTAGGATTATACCTATAGTGAAAATCCTGTAATCTGAATATATCTTTAATATTAATATTATATATTTTCATTGCAAGTTCCTATATGAGCATTAATATAAGAAATTGCGTTCCTACGACTATGAACGCAATTGGATCAGCGACATTTTGAAGTTTCTCCTACCGCCTCGAAAAACATTAGATGGCATTACACTGTTCCATGATTCTCGTTTGCACCGATGACATAAACACTTCAATATCGAAAATATAAGGTTATGTCTGAATTTAGGTAAATAATAAATAAAAATTTCGATACGGATTGAACGGAATGTTGAAATGTTCATTGCCGGTATGAAGTTGAAAATATGCCGTTTAATCCTTATATTTAAATACAGACATTAGTCTAACGGACCCTGCTACGCAAAATATTTTTAATCTATGAGCAAGATATCAGAAACTGCCGTTGTCAGTTGACGTAAAAATACCGTTAAAACGATGGATCTGTACAAACTGTTTCACTTTTTACAAAACGATTTGGGTACTGTGAACCAACTTACTCGTTGATCGGTCGATGAATAAAGAAGTATCATGTCTAAATTCTTTGTGCATTGATTACATTTTAAAAAATATTAATAAAACAATCTGTCGAATATGAACAATTATACTGGAAGGTCAGCCGGAAAATATCTCCACATTGATCATAATGTCTCGCAAACCTTAACAGTTATGATGAAATGATATAAAATTTGATAAAACTTACTCGATGTTCGGTCGATGAATAAAGAAGGAGCTATCGTGTTCTGAGTTATACTTGGTGATTTTTCTAGTCACCACAGGGTGTTGTCCATCATCGTTAGCTTTGTTTGTAGTCAACATGACGTCCTTAGTACCGCATACCGTCTTAAAATGGGCAAACGTTACACCTACAAAGTAAATTGTAATCGTGATTCATTAATATTTTTAATTATCAATCCTGTGTACGTAAGTCCAGCACTTAAGTATATTTGAGAATCAGTTGCTCTACTAAGAACAAAAAAACCGAGCGATGAACAAGTATTTGATTGATTAAAGAGGCAGTACTTGTGGTAATAGTTACGAGAATAACGAAGTATAAACGCTCCTGTTGAAAAAAATATTTAGTGGATGTTGTACAGATTTTCCAATTCAAGTTGTTTTGATTTTTAAAGTTATTTTTATGTCGATTTCCTCGAAATGAAAAGCATTTTATGTTGCAGCTGGAATAATGGAATTAATGCATTACTTAAGTACTCACCCTCAACGTTCATAATTCCCATGATTGCAGGGTAGTTCCTTATTCCAGTCAGGCCGTAAAATGGAGCGCTGTTACTTCCTTGCATGAAAGAAGCAAACACCAAACCGACATGACCTCCAGTTATCTGACTACTTATTCCCGTAGATTTAGCCTGGTCGGTGGTGCAGTTATATGATGAGGTCGTTCCGATGATGATGCTGTCCTTTACGGTACATTGTTTCGCCGCATACAAATGAGCAGCAGCACTTGGTCCTATTATTTGGTTGTAAATTCCCAGAGTATTTTCTGCCATTGTATTATTAATCAAAACTACAGACAGTCTGTTGTTGTAATATATTGCAATGTCATAACATTTCCAGATGAAGTAGTTTGATACTTGGTAACAAGAGCCTTGGACGTTATCCCCTGGAAAAATGGCCAAGCCTATAGATGAACTGTGGGCTTCATTTCCAGATGGACCGGATGTTAGTCCACATTCTACGCCAGGAACATGAAAAGCTACTCCATTAGTACCGCTGACCGAGTTATCTGTTAGTGTCAATTCTTTGGAGCCCATTCCACTTATAGCTCCAAAACGGGAACTGCTGCCACTCACAAGTACGACTAGGTTACGATGAATTGTCGTCCTGAAGGATTGCGTTTCGATCGCTGAAATTTTAATTGTATTTCTATATAAACATGGATCGTAATTACATTGGCATAGATAACAAATATATGATACAGGTTTTCAAATGTAAATGAAAAGTTAAGTAGATTGTATCGTTAAACATGTTTGCATTCGCATTTACCACTTAGGCCATTATGTAAAGAACCCGACACGGCAGTCGCTATCTTTACAGATGTTATAAATTTGTCATGTATTGATGGATACATTTCTGTGTTGGTGGATAAAACAAACTTAACTTAATAGTATACGCTAACAGTTCAATGTACTGTTATACTTAAGTCCATAATGAAGCATCAGTTAGTGTTTATTGTTTCGAAGCCATGAATATTGCCTAGAATAGATTTACCAGGGAATATATGTTTACTAGATGTTGGCGTTTTAAATTTGCTGTTAGTACTGTCAACTATCTGCTATTTTAAACAATGTTAAAAATGAAAAAAAAAGTTATTTACCTAGTAGAACAGAGTGATGCATGACATTTCCCGTCACTACGAGACTGTTGGTTCCGTACACGCCTACAGCTGACGAGAAGCCATGGTGAAATGTACACTTTGTCACAAACGACGATTTGTCTTCCGTTACTGTGCCGACGTTCCGATATGTCAGAGAAGGATAGTGAGGAAATAGAGAATATCGGAACTGTCCAGTATGGAAAAATTCGACGTTACCAAAGCTAGCATATCCTGCAGCAAATATAAAAGAAATCTGCTATATCATAATCAATTGTAATATTAGTATCATGCGTTTTAAATGTAAACGTAAACAAGTGAACACCTAACAGCATGGCGCCTACCATCGTACCATCTTCATTTTGATAATGATATTTTCCCTTCTTTATTTCTGTTTGATTGAAGTAGCTTTTGGTTTCAATTTCATACCGCTTATATAAAAACACCTTCAGAAATGCATTTGTCATTTCACATATTTACTAGTACAACACTGATTGTGAAAGAAATAGAATCCATCATTGCAATCTGAGAAAGATATGTTAAATAATCCCTTTGAATAGTGATGATATTCTTGAAATTTCAAAATTGAAGATGACCGCCTTGCGGCCATCATTTTTGCAACCAGTATCAAAGTAATACATGCATACTATTGGACCAAGGGAAACGTTCATTTGAAATATGAATAACAAACTATTCTTAAAATCCAAGATGGCTGCCTGGCCGCCATGTTTTTCCCCCCGATCAGTCCAAATATTGGACCTTTACCTGGAATTGGAGAAAGAACTGACAAGTACGATTTAAGAAATAGCAAGAACAGACTGTAACTCTTAAAATCCAAGATGGCTACCTGGCGGCAATCTGTTTTATGACACCGCTCAAAATAAAACAGGCACAATTAGTTCATGTAAATTGTGGAAAAAAATTGTCAAGCACTTTTTGAGATAACAAATTTAAACTTTTAAAATCCAGCCATCTTGTACTCATGGATAACTCAGAACTAAAGGGGACATATCAAATTTGAGAAATATTCCTTCATTGCTTTCTGAGAAACAGTGATACAACTTTAAATGTGAAACTCCAAGATGACAGCCTGTCGGCAATTTTGATTTTAAATCAGTCTCAAAAAATATGCAAAACTACAGACCAAGGGGAACCTACATATCGAATTTGATTAAGATCCCTCAAGTTCTTTCTGAAAAATTGCAATAACAAACCTTCACTGTAAAAATCCAAGATTGCTGCTGGTCAGCCATTTTGTTTTTCGATCAGTCTCAAAAGTTAACATGCACAACTAAAGATCCAGGGAAACGTACATATCAAATTTGAGATATATCCTTCAAGTCCTTCATGAGAACGAGCGATAACAAAGCTTTACTGTAACAAGAGGCCCAGCGGGCCTGTATCGCTAACCTTGAAATGTTATCAAATTGAAGTTATAATAGCCAGATGTTACTGGAAGTGTACATGCTTAGTCAGGGGTTATATTTATATATGCAATTGGACAAAATCCTGTCATTCCTAAATTAAATGGAAGATTTTGAAGAATTTGCCCCTCCCCTCTGCCCCCAGGATGGTCAGACTCATCGTTACAAAATAATGTCCCCTTCACCCAAGGATGCTTAAGACCAAATTTGGACATAATCCTGTCATTCCTACAGAAGAATGATATTTAAGTTATTCCTCTATATCCCTTATTTGGCTCACCTCTCTGCCCCAGGGGGCGAGACCTACTTTTTATACAAAATTGGTTCCCGTTCACACAATGGTGCTTCATCCAAAATTTAATGAAAATTATATCATTCCTACAGAGAAAGAATTATTTTGAAGAATTTGCTATGTTTCCCCTATTGGGCTCCATCCTCAGACCCCAGGGGGTTTAAGCCCACTATGTATACAAAACTGATTACTATTGAAATTTGGTCAAAATACCTTCATCCCAACGGAAGCTGAAGGATATTAAAGTTATTCCTCTATTTCCCTTAGTGGGCCCTGCCTTTCTTCCCTCAGGGGGGTCAGACCCACCGTTCATACAAAATTGGTTTCGCTTCACCCAAGGGTGCTTCATACTAAATTTGGACAAGATCCTGTCATTCCTTCAAAAAAAGAAGGATTTAAAAGAATTTGCTATCTTTTCCCCATTGGGCCCCACTCCTCTATCCCAGGAGGGCAACACTCACTGTTTATACACAATTGAGTGTTATTGGTTAAATGATGCTCCAGACTTAATTAGAATAAAATCCCTTTATCCCTACGGTAGAAGAAGGATTTTAAAGGTTTTACCTCGCTTTCCCCTATTGGACCCC